TTTTTTTTTTTTTTTTTTTTTTTTTTTTTTTTTCTCTCTCTTGAATCTTAATCATTGCCCTCTATTCCCTACGCTTTTTCTTTTCAATTTTCATTGCCTCTTCCAAATCACTCTTTTTTTTCTTCTTCTTCTTCTATCTCCCAAACCCAAAGTTGGTTGGTTTACATTACAGGGTGTCCAACCAAAGCTACCCTCAAATCTTAATGCTTTCTACTAAGGACAACACATCAAGGTGAGACGCAGACTCTTCCTTCAAACTCACTATGATAAAAAAAATATATATTTTTTTTTAAAATTTGCACCTTTGATTGCTTCATTTAAAACTTCACTCCCCCACTTTCTCTTAAACGTGAAGAAAATGCAATAAAACTTGAAAGAAAAAAAAAAAAACATTGCTTGGTGCTGTGGTTTTAACTTTTAACTCAGTTGTTTTTTTGGTGGCCACCACCCACCAGTGCAATGATTCTGGAGGCTTCCAGAAGGATGAAAATTTTCTGATATTTTGAGTTTTTTTTTTATTTTTTATTTGGTATTGATTTTTGATGATTCTCTCCTTTGTGTTGTTTTCAAGGAGGGAGAATTATTTGGGATGAAAGATGCTAGAGTTGATCTGGGTTTTTGCTGGAAGGAAGAAAAGAAGGTTCTGAATTCTGATATTCAGTGATTAGAGTCAAAAGTGAGAGAGATTCATTAGGTTGGTAAGTGAATCCAATTCCGATGGAGACTCAGACACCAAATGTGCAGCCACAAGCTGCGTCAACAAGCACGCCAAGGAAAAAGATGACCAAACAGTTGACAGGTAAAAAGGATGATACACCTTTGCACTCTGCAGCAAGAGCAGGGAATCTGAGTGTTCTGAAGGACACAGTTAGTGGTGCTGAAGAGGGTGAATTGCGTGCGTTGTTGACAAAGCAGAACCATGCTGGGGAAACAGTTCTTTATGTTGCTGCTGAATATGGCTATGTCGATATGGTTAGGGAGATGATTCAGTATTATGATCTTGCTGATGCTGGAATTAAAGCAAGGAATGGTTTTGATGCACTCCACATTGCTGCCAAACAAGGGGATTTTGGTATGTCTTCAATGGGCTTTCTTGTTCTTTTATGGTGTGTGATCTTTAGATAGCCTTATCTCTAAAAGATGTAGGATTTGGATTTTTCTCAATAAACTTCCACGCTCAACAAGATTGAGCTTAATTCCTGAATAGTATGATAGGAGACCCTTTTAATGAATACATAATAGGCTTTGATACCATTTTACAATATGAGCTTAGACTTAATTCAATCCTACAAAACTAGTTTCTAAGGTGAGAGTTGTCTCTCGTTTATATATTCTAATTTAGTCTTATCCCTAGTTGAAGTACTATTTGGGTTTTTTGCAATAGTATACCATTGATTGACTCTTTGTATCTGTCCTTTAAAAAGAAATTGAATCTCTTTGACTGTCTCTAGATGTAGGTCACATTGGTCTTTTATTTTTTTTTTATTTTTTTATTTTTGTAATTGCTATAACAGTTACTCCTGTTGCAGATATTGTGAATATCCTAATGGGGGCTCATCCTGAATTGTCAATGACTGTGGATCCATCCAACACCACAGCTCTGCACACTGCTGCAACACAAGGGCATACTGAGATAGTGAAGCTTCTAATGGAAGCAGGTAGTAGTCTTGTAACCATTGCTAGAAGTAATGGGAAAACAGCTTTGCATTCTGCGTGGAGAATATATATATATCGAAATTTCATCAATAAATGAGATAATAAAGTAAATTCTTTAGCGAGATTATAACTATAACCGTACATGTACATTATAACACTTGGTTTTCCTGTTAAAAATATTTATTTAATTATTAATTATTGTGTTTTTGTTGTAATTAATTGAGTTGGTTTAGTAATTATTTTAATTATTTTTTTATATGGATATATATATATATATATATATATATTTTTAAGATTTTATAATCAAGTGTTTTATTATTTATTTACTTATTAATTAATTGAGGGAAGGGTTTTTGGTAACCATAGTTAGTTGTTTTAGTTGATGGGTTAAAAAGAGGTTTATGTTTTTAAAAAGGGGAGTTTTTTTATCAGTTTCTTTTTATGCCCGTGAATAACCAATTTTATCTAGACCCACAAAAGTAATGAAATGGACGTCTACTATAAAGCGAAGGAGCTCCCAAAGTATGGAGACAGCACCATATGACAACAAGGAGGCTTGAAGCCCAAAAAAGTTGGTTTTAGTAGCCCAGAACGGGTTGTTCCAAAATCAGAACAGGTTGTTCCAAAATCGGAACGGGTCATTCCCAAGTTGGAACAGGCTTTTCCAAGTTACTAAAAAGACCTAAAACCCTAATTGAGAACGGGCCAAAACGGACTGCTCCAGGTTCAAATTTAGTTCATAACTGAACAATTCAGAACGGGCCGTTCCGAATCCGGAACGGGTCGTTCTAGTCAGGTCTGACATCTATAAATAGCAGACTTGGGCACTATTCTCGAGGGAGAAAAAAGGCAAAAAAAAATTGGTCTAAGATTTCTTATAACTCGAAAATCCTCTCTCTTTCTCTCTCTTTGTATTTCTTGAGATCTGTGAAGCATCTATGTAGTTTGAAAGGTAGTCAAAAAGTACCTAATAGATCCTCATATCTGAATATTCAACACGTTAACAAGTTCAACAATTTATTCGTCTCACATTTGGTATCATATTCTTTTCTTAACCCTTTTTTTTTTTCTTTTTTTGATTGGTTGAAAATAATTATACATACAGAGTGAATGTGATTTGTTGTCTTCAAGATTATCATTTAGAAAGTATTCATACAATAAATAATAACGTTAGTTAAATAACATTTTTATCTTTAACGTTATTTGATTACGAGAGTTTAATGACTAGCCACTTGTTAGCCTGAATTCTTGTGTAAAGATTATTTCAAACAAAATTAGCAATGTTAAGTCTATCTTTAGCGTTATTATGATCGTTCAACGTTTATTTATTCGTTAACTTAAATTATTACCCAAGTCTCAAATAAAAATGCAAAAAGGGTTTTTTTTCATCTATAAAGGTTCCATACAAAGCATGATAGAATATATTTTTAGGGTAAATTAAATATTTATAAATTTATATAATTTTGAGCAATTAATTAAATGTACTATTTTTTAAGGTGCATAGGGTGCTAATATCTTCCCAATGCGTAATTGACTTCCGAACCCAATCTTGACTTTAAAGATTATTTTTAAAAGGGTTTTCCAATGCTTTTCCCTTAAAATAAGATATTGGTGGCGGTTTCATTGAAAAATAATGTTTGTGTCATCCCGTCGTGATTTCGGTTACGACAATGCCCCTTATTGTAACACCCCAGTTTTCCTAATTCATATTAATGATATGCTAATAATTATTTTAATATTTTAAATATGTTTATTAAAGGATTTTGATATAATTTAATTAATTATATGATTTCTATTTTAATATAAAATATGGTATGAATTAATATTTTGATTATTGATATAAGGTGTATTTTATGAAGATGTGTTTTATTAAAGGTTTAAGCTTGTGATATTTTTATTAAAAGGGAAGAGTGTATTTTGATTTTATTTTAGCTTTTTTTATAAAAGGGGAAGGAAGGTTGTTTTGGTAATTAGGTTATTATTATTATTTTATTATTTAATTAATTGAGTAAAAAGGAATTGCTAGAGTCAGTTTCATGTACTCATTTTCTCTTTGTTTATTTCCTTTCTACACTCTCTGAAGACCAAGGAAAATGAAGAGAAGACTACCTGGAAATTGCTCATGCTTCGACTTCTGTCCATCAAGTCGTAAAAATAAAAAATTAGGATTTTGTGACGGATTTTGAATCCCTCACAATTTGTGACGGATTTTGAACCCAGTTTGTGACGAATGCATTCCCTCACAAATTGCGACGAAAAATTTATTAGTTAGTGACGACATATTTCCGTCACTAATTGTGACGGATTGAATTTTCCGTCACTAAATATTTTGTGACGCCATTTTTTGTGACGACCCAAAATCTGTTACAAATTCCGTCACTAATAATTTTGTGACGGATTTTCATTAATTTTGTGACGGATTTTTTCCGTCTCTAATTTCCATTTTTCTAGTAGTGAGAGCGGTTGAAGTAAATCATGGGATAAGTGTCAAAGGTTGCAGAACGATTTGGGGAAGTTAATAAGCAGTTCCAAGAGTTATCCAAAGACGTGCCCGGGAATAAGCCACGATGTGGAAGTTTAGAACAATTATGCACTTCCGGGGCACGTCAGAAACAGTTACCTTTCCCAAATCTTTGTCTATAAATTAAACGAGCCATGCTCGTAGCAAAGGGTCAGAAATCAAACACCCACAATACCTCACACGCACTTCTCGCCTGCGCATAAGGCCCACTGTGCATACGAGACAACTTTGGGTACGGACACACCCACAATACCTCACACGCACTCCTCGCCTGCGCATAACGCCCATCATGCATACGAGACAGCTTTGGGTACGGTTTCTCGACCACCTTTCTTTGGTTAGAAATCAAATTCCCACAATACCTCACGCGCACCGCAGCCTGCACATAAGGAATATTGTGCATATGAGACAGCTTTGGGTATGATTTCTCGACCACCTATCTTTTTTCCTTTTTTAGGAGTAGCGGAGCATAACATAATCTATTCTATTGTAGTGTAGTCATCTGAACATGTTTCGTCATCCTTACGCATTGTAATTTTGTTACCATTTAATGAAGGATATGATTTATGCAATCAATATACATGTCATCTATTCGATTCACGTTAACACATGCATGAATTTGATTGTATAATTAGCATAGATCTTCTGATGTGCTGAAACAAGCATAGATCTTCTGATGTGCTGAAACAAGCATAGATCTTCTGAAGTGCTAACACCAGCATAGATCTTCTGACGTGCTCAGACAAAGAGCATAGATCTTTTGATGTGTTGAAACAACACCCTAATCAATTAACTCTATTTGTTGTTTGTACGATTTATTTTTTCACTGAAAGTCTTCGATTCTGACGTGTCACGAACACGCATAAATTGAAACGTGCTAATCGTGCTAGTTCGAATAAAAAGAACCTACGAACGAAATCCTCCACAAACACAAGGTAAGGGGAGAGTGAAAAACCTCTCTTAAGGTTCGAGGATAAATGTTGGGTAGTTAGGATTGGCCCCCAATCCTATGTATGTGTATGCTAAGGATTTGTGAGAGTTTTCTGTTTTGATTCCTGAGTGCGAATATGTATTTGATTCCTAAAATTGATATGTTTTGGTTTGACATAGAGTGCTCTATGAGTTCTTATGGGAAACCTTAACAAAAATATTTAGGAATGTGGTTAATTGGTTTGATTTGATGTGTTGATGACTAAATTGAGTGTTATTTCATGTTTTGAATATATAATGGAATATTTGTACCGATTAAGTTATGAAACTTGATGAATTGGTGTAAAAGTGGTGGAGTTCGCGTTCTGTGATATGCAAGTTTTACGTTTTGTGTTGGGACAGAGCAAATCATGGGCTTGACTGATGAGTGACGACCGTGATTGACTATGTTTAGAACTGTCACTTTCCGCGTGAATCACGGGCATGACTAGTGAGTCACAGCCGTGATTGACTCTATTGAGAATCCTCATTTTTACACGTGAATCATGGGCGTGATTGATGAGTCATGATCGTGATTGACCCTGTTTGAGAATCCTTACTTTTTGTGAGTGAATCACGGGTGTGACTCAATAGTCATGGCCGTGATCTTCTTTGCTTATAGTTTTCATGAATTTCTTCCTCTTTATGATGCCCCGATCAATGTCTCGTGTTTCAATATGCTATGTGTGATGCACTATCTTGTCTTGGTATGGAATGTGATGAAAGTTATGATTTTATAGTGAACGTGGCAAGCCTGTGTTAGAGTATAACTGAAGAGTACATGACTAGTGAATGTGTGACATGCATCATGAGCATATATGACTTTAGGTGTGTCACTTAGGCCGCATGCCAGTGTACTGGATTATTCTAGGTGTGTCGCTGAGGCCACATGCCATTATACTCATGTGAATTCCAGGTGTGTCTTTTCGCCACCAATGATATATTTATGATTACATGTGCTGCATGTGTGTTGTTGTATCAGCATACCAGTGACAAGAAATATGTGAATTTCGTATGGCGCCACATGCATGTAGTGAGTAGTATGCATGACATCGAGACATGAGGGTGATTATAACTACTTTGGATATGCTATGTATGTTGCATGTATTGTGTGTTTGGGCTAGTTAGCATTTGTTTCTGCACATCGAGCCTGAGTGAGACATTTCTCACTCCCTCCTTTTGCTGTCTGTGTTTCCTATTTTATTGTGATGTGTAGGTGAGCTTCAATAGGATGCCAAAGGTTTTGATGGGGAAGTCTAGACGGGAAGCTCTAATTAGACTATGTGACACAGAGTTTTAGCATTAGGGAATTTTTGTTTATTGTGTTTTGATGGAATTCATTATGTTATTTATTTTTACCCAAGGATTTATGTTTAAGAGATTTCATGTTATATGAAAGGATTTTTGTAATGTGAACTCTCTACTCATGATTAAAAAGAGAACGTCTCATTTCAATTGAAGTATTTTTTAATGTATTTTATTTTAAAGAGAATTATGTCCTTTTTATGTTGAATATATGATGCGGGGTAAAGGGTTTAACCTCCAATCCTATCTCTATTGTCTGCTTTACATATGAGGGTTTTCCCCAAAAAGTGTCTTTGTCTTCTTTGTTGCTCTTTGATGTTCTCATTGTTGGTATGTATATGTATGTGCCTTTAATTTTGTGTTTTGATCTATAATCGCATGTTTTAGATTGCGTGTGAGTTTCCATAGCTAGGGCCCTTAGAACTTTTCTATCAATTGGATGTTCACTTTTGGTGATTCTTGATGAACTCTGGTGATAGGATGAGTTTTAAGGCCCAAAGAGTTAAAATTCACACTATCAAATTTTGTCACTGATGTGATTGGCAAGTCACGACTATGACTGGTTAGTCACAAGCATAACTGGTGAGTCACGACAATGTGTTCAAATTTTGACCCCTCTTTATATTTCATTGAGTTGATCATGAGCATGATTGGTGTTACAATTGTGATCCTTGAGTCATGACTGTGACTCATGTTATTGCTCTTTTTTCTCATTCTTTTATTATTTTTTTCTTTCCTTTTATCACCTCTAATACTTGAGATAACTCATTTATTAGTTTGAGATACAATGTATGATATTTGTGTATGAATCATGTATGAATTGGATGATGTGTTACCTTGGATCTTAATATAATGAAAAGTCTAAACAAGACTTAGCTATGATGTGATTATGAAATGAAATGAATTGAGAAACAATCGTGAGTATGTATTATTGTAATATGATAGAGCATTGAGTTTGTTTGACAACATTTTATGCATAAAAGTATTTTTTGAGGGTATAATATGGAATACTATTAGGGAAGGCCCCTTGTGTAAAAGTTTGGGGATCAATCATTAAGGATAACTTGATTTGGAAGTCTCAATCTTGCCTATTGTGTGCATCAGATATATCTTGCGTTGCTTAACTATCCCAACTAGGCCCTAATATTATGTCCTCTAAGTGAGGGTGCGTTAAGAGTGTGATCTGACATGTACTCTTTTGCTACTCTATGTGTTGCTAACGGTAATGCACCACATGATGTTTTAGACTAACGCCACATGCATGATTATGTGTAGTCCATGCCCATTAAATAATACAAGTGAATGAATCATTATGTTATTTGTTATTATTATGTGAATTCAATATGTGATGTTAATAAAAATCATACCTTGTTATGTGTCGACAGTTGTAATATGTTCATACATCAATTATGCCTATATTATGTACCTTGTTATCTAGTTATGCATATGAATGATTTGTTGGAATAACTTATTATATTATGGATAATTTTAAGATTTTTGTTTATTACTATGCTTATGAATTGTCTCTTACTTGTGTTTGGCTATCCGACTACAACCTACGCTATGAGATAGTTTGTTTTGTTCTTCTTGTATATAGTTATAGGTGATCTTTAGCATGATGTTGAGGATGTTGGCGATGAGACCTAGTCCTTATGTTTGGGTTTATGCTTTGATGGGATGTAACATTGGGGCTTAGTTAGGATTTGTATTTCCTTTAGTTATGTTTAAAGACAGTTGTTATTTCTATTGTTAAGTCAAGAGACAATCTTGGATTCTTTAAGCTTAGATTTTTAATGCTAACAAATAAAACATTTTATAAGAGAAAATGTCTTAAAAAAAATATCTTTGAAAACCCTTATCAAATGAAGTGTAATATATAAATCGTCTATAAGACAATGTAAATCAGATGAAACATACAGTTTGTCTCATATACATTAAATGCTTATTATTTCTTGAGAGTAATGACAAAAGCTTCTTAAATGCATCATTCCTTAACAAGTTAAACTAGAAGATTGTCTTGAAACTCACAAATCTGTCAAAGAGAATAAAATCATACTTTTCATTAAGACCATGGACAAAGATTCCTAAAATCACAAAAAAAAAGTAAATAAAGTCACTATTGTTGTTGTATTGTGCTAACATTACTTCTATAAGTTCTGTTTGATATGAAAAGTTGACAAGTGTCGCAACCAAGATCGCAACGGGACGATAAAAATAAAATTTAAAACAATGAAGTCGCCACTAATGTTTATTTTTATGGAAAAAACATTAGAAAACCACAAAATAAAAAAAGATCTACAAAAATCAGATTTTTGAGTTCGGGAGTCGATTACATGTAAGGTAGGTATTAACATCTCACAACGTTCGTCCTAAGACGATTACCTTTAATTAATTAAACAAATTATTTATAACTTATAAAATATTTATCTCACCCTAAATTAATTAACTATAATGATCAAATGTATTTTATTTAACTAATTTAACTAATGCATTTTAAAAAAAGGTTAAAATTATTATTGTTATATAAAAAGGAAGATAATATTGTTTTTATTTTTTGGCTCGACAAGATTTATTTCTTGTTCCTATGTATCTCCATGTGTAATGAAGAATCAGAGTCACGTAGTTCTTTGTAGAAATTTTTTGTGTATTGATACATTTTTTAATTAAAATTTATTTTTTTTATTAAATTGAGGATTCTTGAACTGTCTCAGCTCATTCACACTAAAATATAAAATTCACTGAGGTGTACACCAAAATTAATTTAATAAAATATTTAATTTTAATTATAATTATTGTTATTGATATTATTGTTACTATGGTGTATACTTAAAAGATTTTTTGGTTGGATATTTTTATTTTGGAGAAAAATCTAAAGATATCAAGTTGTCACAACTGGTATCTTGAATTCAAAGGTTAAAAAGATGTCACATCTAATTAAAAATTCCTCAAATAAAATCTTTGATATAATGATTTCAAATATTTATGTTGAATATTGTGATAATATTTTTCCATATTTAATTATGCATTTTTGAATTTAAATTTTTTTAAGATCATAAGTTGTCACAACTTACATCCTTAAGTTCTAGGATTAAAGGAATGTCACATTCAAATAATCTCCTTTTTTTTCATAGATATAATTAATACTAATATTGATAAGAGAATATCATAGTAATTATTATTATTATTATTATTGTTGTTGTTGTTGTTATTGTTGTTGTTGTCTAAATGGATTAAAAATTATGTAAATATCTAACACATTTGTATAAAGAAATAACTTAATCAAATAAAATCAATTAGACTAATTTTGTTAAAACAAGAAATAAATATCATCATCTAAGATTAAGGAGATGCCATATACAAATAATCTCCTTTTTAGAGAAGATATATATTATTAATATTAATATTGATAAAAATATTATTATTATCTAAAATAATTAAAAATTATAAGAGAACTTGTTATATAAAAAGGAAGATAATATTGTTTTTATTTTTTGGCTCGACAAGATTTATTTCTTGTTCCTATGTATCTCCATGTGTAATGAAGAATCAGAGTCACGTAGTTCTTTGTAGAAATTTTTTGTGTATTGATACATTTTTTAATTAAAATTTATTTTTTTTATTAAATTGAGGATTCTTGAACTGTCTCAGCTCATTCACACTAAAATATAAAATTCACTGAGGTGTACACCAAAATTAATTTAATAAAATATTTAATTTTAATTATAATTATTGTTATTGATATTATTGTTACTATGGTGTATACTTAAAAGATTTTTTGGTTGGATATTTTTATTTTGGAGAAAAATCTAAAGATATCAAGTTGTCACAACTGGTATCTTGAATTCAAAGGTTAAAAAGATGTCACATCTAATTAAAAATTCCTCAAATAAAATCTTTGATATAATGATTTCAAATATTTATGTTGAATATTGTGATAATATTTTTCCATATTTAATTATGCATTTTTGAATTTAAATTTTTTTAAGATCATAAGTTGTCACAACTTACATCCTTAAGTTCTAGGATTAAAGGAATGTCACATTCAAATAATCTCCTTTTTTTTCATAGATATAATTAATACTAATATTGATAAGAGAATATCATAGTAATTATTATTATTATTATTATTGTTGTTGTTGTTGTTATTGTTGTTGTTGTCTAAATGGATTAAAAATTATGTAAATATCTAACACATTTGTATAAAGAAATAACTTAATCAAATAAAATCAATTAGACTAATTTTGTTAAAACAAGAAATAAATATCATCATCTAAGATTAAGGAGATGCCATATACAAATAATCTCCTTTTTAGAGAAGATATATATTATTAATATTAATATTGATAAAAATATTATTATTATCTAAAATAATTAAAAATTATAAGAGAACCTAATGTATATTTATGAAGAAATAACTTAATCTACCATAATTAACTATACTAATTTCTTTTGTTAAAAAAAATTATCATAAAACATTAATTCAATATGATGCATATCTTGAGAGAAAAAAGGGACAGAGAAAGGAAAAAAAGGATATGATAAACGGGCTAAAAAAAAGAGATATGATAAGTGGGTTTAGCCCACATGCGTGGCTTGGTGCAACGTGAATCAGAGAATGAAAGGGAAAAAAACATTAAAAAAAAATGGCATTTAGCCACGTGACCAGCCCATAAATAAAACACAAAGAAAAGGAGAGAGGAGCTCTGCTAGGGTTCCGCATGCAGCCTCCCTCTGTGGATATCAATAGTGTAGTGGATCAGCCGTGCAGGAGGGAAGGAGAAGGCGACAATGCATGGCGGTTAGTAGCGTCACCGTCACCGGAAATCGCTTCCGACGACGACACACGGTGGAGTTCACGGTGATGCTTCCACGCGAACGTGACTGTCAATACCGCCAGAAATCGCTTCCGACAGCGACACGGTGGGGCTCGCGGTGTTTCATCCACATAGTGTCTCGTCATAGTGACGTACGACCTTGGTGCGTGGGAGGAGATTAAGGCAACCATCGTAGTCGCCGGAAATCGCCTCTAACGGTAGTGCATGGCAGCATTCACAATGATGTTGAATAAAAGTGAGACAAAACTTCCTTTTTTTTTTATTTCCTTATCCATTTTTTCTCCCTTGCTTGGCTAGTTAGGATAACTTGCGCGAAGCAAGCTGGTTTCCTTATGATTTTCAAGCAGTTAAAGGATGTAATTGTGGTGGGTTTTTTTTTATTATTTTTTTATGAAGTAGAAAATATGTTTGTGATTATAAGTGTGTGTTGTAGGTTCATGAAATTGTTTCAAAAATTAAAACACATGAATTTAGCAAATAGTGACATTGTTAATTTTCAAACCTCAAATGGAAAAGGCAAAATAGACATACCAATGTTGTGCCCTGCCTATCTTCTTTCTCCAAGCTTTTTCTGGTGCTCATAAATTCTACATTTCTTTACCAATTTTTGGAGCCAAAATTTTTCAACCCCCTTCACTGCTATTATCCTGGGGTATTTATAGACATAATTTAATTATATATTTTTTACCAATTGAACTAACTGATGCCAAATTCATACTTTTGGCAGCATATCCTACAAGACCGAGATTTTAGGGGATTTGTCGGTGGCTGTGCAATTTGGTTGCAATTTTGGTGGCTGTGCAGTTTGGCTATAGTGTTGGTGGCTGTGTTGTACAAGCATGTTGTTCCTTCTATTTACGTTCATGGGTCTCATTCTCCTCCAAAATGAACATGCCTTGTGTTGGTCCATTAAAGGAAATGTATTGTATGTTGTTTATTGTTTCCCCTAAGTTGTGTTTCTTCTGCTACGTGGGTCTTCTATTGACATGTAACAATAAGTAACCTCCTTGATCAAATAAGAGGTACCATTTGGTGAAATACAATTATTGTTCGCATTAAATGAGCTGAAAAGTTACCTATCATCACAAAGAAAGATGATGAAGACAAACAAAACAAACTTATGAGTCAAACTCAAAGTATTAGAATGATCATCTTCTTTGAGATACTATATAAGAAGATTCAAAGCTCAAGAAAAAATGATAACATAGAATACTTAGAGAGAGAGAGAATAGACATATAAATACACTTGTACAGAAACATACTCTGTGTAAATTTGTTCTTTATTATAAACATTCATTGCTCTGTACTAGTTATATAACGTCTAAGTGAAATAAACACAACACATGTGTAACTTTCATAACCATAGTTATAAGGTTGAGCCTAAAAAGGCTCATTTGAAAAAGAATATTTGTTTTGAATTTAGAGAGATTTGACTATAAAAGAATACTTGGTTGTTAAGTCTAGAGAGACTTATTGTTAAAAGAATACTTAGGTAATTGCTTAATAAAAAAATATCAAATACATAGAGAGAGAGAGAGAGAACAAACATATAGATACACTTGTACAAAAACATACTCTTTGTAAATTTGTTCTTTCTTGGATACACTCATTACTCTATATTGGTTGTATAATGTTTAAGTGAGATGAATACAACACTTGTGTGACCTTTATAACCATAGTTATGAGGTTGAACCTGAAAAGGTTTGTTTGAAAAAGAATATTTATTTTGAGCCTAGAGAGGCTTGACTGTAAAATAATACTTGGTTGTTAAGCCTAAAGAGGCTTGTTGAAAAAATACTTAGGTAGTTACTTGAAGAGACAAGTCAAAAAATACTTAGGGTTAAGCTAGAAGTGGGAAGTGACTTATTAAAAGAATACTTGTATCTTTGTCCAAAGCTAGTGGAACTCAATCTGATTGAATTGAAAACTGGACGTAATCTCGATGGTTAAGACGAACGAGTATAAAAATATCCAGTGTTCCATCTAACTACTTTTCGTTCTTCATCTGACTAGAGTTGCCGCTTCATACAAAAAACATGCAAGTTTTGATACATACTATTCAACTTCCCTTTATTGTATTTATATTTTCCCCACATTTTAGTACTAGAGCTCAACCTTTTACAAGTTTGAGCATCTTATCGTGCTAAAGGAAAAAGATTCTTTATGGGAAGTAGTGAAGAACAACACATACCGAAGGAGCTTATCTCACAAGGCCTCTTACCTTTAATTGAGAAGACTACCCATATTAAAAGGATTGAATAGAGACATTCATCAAGTCCACCCAATATATACCACCTTTGGAGAATCATCACTCAAGGTGATGTTGTGACCAAGCTTGAGAATGAATATACTCAGGATGATTACAACACATTGCAACTCAATACCAAAGCAAGATACATCTTAGCTTGCTCCTTGTCTAGAATAGAGTACAACAAGTTTTGCAGTTGCTCAACAGCCAAAGAAATGTGAGATGCCATCAGAGTAACTCATGAGGGTATTGAAGATGTAAGGCTCAGATGAGCTACTTTGCTTTAGAGACACTGAGTTATTCTCCATGAAGGAGAGCGAATCCATAGATGAAATATTTGGAAGAATCAAAACAATTTTGAATGGGTTAAAATCCTTGGGAATTGAGTTCTCCAAGGCTCAGAATAATCTTAAGATCTTGTACAGTCTTCCTAAGATTTGTAAGCCCAAAGCCACAACTATCTTTGAAGCACGCGACCTTAAAGTTCTCACTCTTGATGAACTTCTTAGAGCTCTACGAGTTCATGAGGTTCATTTGAATAATAGAGATCACCCTAAAGCAAAAGACACTATTGCTTTGAAGGATGGTGAGACCAACAAGAGAAGAGAAAAAATGAGATCTTTGAAAGCAAAACCTATGTCTAGCATCTTAAATGAAAGTTCTAAGAACTCTATAAACGATGGGATATCTCTCATGTATAAAAAGTTCAAGGATATGTTAAAGAAAAAAGGAAAATTGAGAAACTTTCACAAAAGGAAGGAAAGCTTCATAAAGCCAAGCTATACAAACAATAAGGAGGTTGTCTGCTATGAATGCAAGAAGCCTGACCATGTTAAAGGAAGAAAGGAAAATTGACTACCTTTCTCAAACAAAAAGATGGTCTTCCAAAAAGAAGTCCAAGAAAAGTCTAATGACCACCTAGGAGGATTTAGATAGCAATAATTCAGATAATGAGAAGGTCAACATATGGTTCATGACAAATATTGGGTTAGATTCTACTTCACTAGTACAAAAATAGGATTTTACGTCACCCTATTTACGTCAGAAAACCCAAAATACGACGTTATAAATACGCGGTGACATTGTTGTAAATAAAAGCCAACTAATTTACGTCGAACAGTGGGGGGCCGACGTAAATTAGTTAGCTTTTATTCCCCTTAACCTTTTAGTATTCCCCCGCGCGCCATTGCTTTCAAAACGTTCTTCTCTTATTCTCTACGCCTTTGTTTGCACATTGCACGTTTCTAAGTCTCTAGGAGTCTTCACATTGCATGTTTGAGGTTAGTTCTTCTCTTATTCTCTATGCAATTTTTTTCTTCATTTTCAGTTGAATGTTCATCTGGAACGGCTCGTTCTCCAACCAGAACGAGCTGTTCTGCTTGATTGTTTTGTTTGTTAATTGTTGATATGGAACGGGCCGTTCTGAAACTTGAACGGGCCGTTCCAGATAAACAATTAACACATAAGTATTGCATCTGGAACGGGCCATTTTGATTTTAGAACGGGTCGTTCCAGACGCATAAATCTGTGTTAATTGGGTATCTGAACGGCTCGTTCTAGTTTCAGTACGGCTCGTTCCAGATGCATTAAAGAAGGACTTTTTAGGCATTAATCTTAGGTTTCTGTTTGTGTATTATTTGTTTTTTTATTAGTTTTTTTGTTGTTATATTGTTATTGTCTTTTTTATTTTATTTGTCTATTCAGTTAATTCGTTGTTTTAATAATGAGAGTTTAATTTTTTCAGGATTATGGAGGATTCAGGGTCTGGCAGTGGAAGGATGGAAGATAGATCTGTCACCCGATTGTTTGGGTTGACAGTTGGACGCATTGCCAAGGAGAGGACACCGGTTGAGGTGGATCCTCGTTTTGGCAAGACGTCAGGCCCAAATGCTGCCAAGTTTAAGATCTATTTGGGAGTCCTAGCTCGATGGCATGTTTCTATTATCATTCCATTATGAGATGACGTTCAGGAGGCTGACAAGAACCTCATGTGGCAGGATATCCAGGTATATACTTTCACATCCCTTCAATATTATATAACTTAAATACATTATTTATTATTTGTTGTTATTTTCATAGCAAAATTTTGACATTCCCAACACTGAGGTCATGAGGAGGAAGATGTTATATGCACTTGCTACCAGGTGGAGAGACTTCAAGACTTTCTTGACACGGGAGTATGTATTTGGAGAGCGACAAAATGAGACTCCCTGTCTAAAGTACCAGATCACTGATGAGGAGTGGATGCAATTTCGTGCCACTCAATTGGACCCTTCTTGGCAGGTTAGTTATTGATAACTCTTACATTGACACAAATACTTAAGGTATATTTTAATTAATCTCATTTTCTTTTTTGTATTATTGCA